TGCAAAGAATCCGAGAGCAGCGTCGGTAAATATATTTTACATCAATATACGGCTTAAATGTGAGCCTCTTTTGGATGTCGAGAATTTCACCCTGTAGAAATTCAGAGGACATTATCCAAACCTAGTGACAATAATGAGATCCGCCAAGTGGATAGCCATTTGGTTTGATAAAGAACTAGGAAAAAATGAGTTGGAACTATTAATGCTACACCTTTTTTCTTGCCGAACACTATTGCTGCAGTACTCTACTGTGACTAACATGTGCCTCCCCGGTTTTGCGTTTTCATAAGCGATGGCGCTTAATCCTAAGAGCCAATATCAAAGCTGGTACTATATCCGAGTAGATGTAATACGCGTGTATGCAGAATGTTCAAGCTAATCTGGGCAATACAGAGTGGCCAGTTCCTCTCCGCTCCGACTTCGAATCCAGCTAATGCAAGTTCTCACTCATTTAGTCGTCTGGAAGGGCTGATTGGGGGCTACTTCCTATCTTCGTATTCGAAGCTGGTACTCTATCCCTGAACTACGCGGCCTCGAAAGAAATAACACCATGCGACTCGTTATATCAACACCAACAAAAGTACAGCCGAAGAACCACTACTAACAGAGGTAGAACTGTAATAACCGAAGACCATCTCCAACACGCACCTGCATTAAGGAAAACCTTCCTTCCATTTCCTCAGTCAGAGTTTCGCCCACTAGCTCGTACTCCAGCAAGTACCGTGACCCTTCAAAGGTGACTCCATCTTCATCCTGGAAAACGGTAAGCAATCTTCAGGCAAAAAGGTAGCTGACTTATAAACTATTTGTACATTATCGCAAGAATTATATTTCTAACTGGTAAGTCATGTGTGTAATGATTATAGGGTATCACTGAAGTCTACTATTTTGTCATGATACATAATTCGCATTATATTCCATTCTTTAAAAGGTGATACACTGACAAAGTAGTGATAAATGGCAATTAGTGATAGATTGGTGATGTGGTTATTTCACATGATAGTGCTGACTGGTGACAGGCTAAAGAGATTAGAGACCTTTATATTTTATTTCGATGGTAAACAGACTGGTGATTATTAAATAACAATCAAAAGGTTGGCGATGATAATTCATTGAATTACAGTTCTGATATTAAGGCATTTGCACTCGCCCAGTCATCACCAATATCTCAAGTACATCTTCACCTCGTTGAATGAAGGAAAAAAAGTTTACTTACAACAAACACACAACACACACACACACACACACACAACACACACACACACACACACACACACACACACACACACACACACACACACACACACACACACACACACACACACACACACATGTACATATATGTATATATATATATATATAATATATATATATATATATATATATATATATATATATATATATATATATATATATACAGAGAGAGAGAGAGAGAGAGAGAGAGAGAGAGAGAGAGAGAGAGAGAGAGAGAGAGAGAGAGAGAGAGAGAGAACAATATAATTACTTTTATCAAGAGACCAAAGTCCTTGCTAAGACCCGGTAGAGTGAAGAGAAGGAAACAGTTCTGCCGGTCGACTGGGTACATTTGCAACTGAAACTGACACGTAAATTCCAGTGTAGATTCTGTCTCCATCACAAGGGTGTTGTTGCTGCCGCTGTACCTGTCGTCTTGAGAAAGGAAGTAAAATTCAAATGGTGATAATGATGACGAATATGGTGATGAGGATACATTATCGTGAATTGATTGTAACAGCAGTAGTAGTAGTTGTAATAGCATTGAGGGTGGTAGTAGTGGTAGTAGCAATAGCATTATTAACATTATTATGGTTATCATTATCAATATGGTAATTATTATTATCAGTGTCATTATTATCATTATTAATAGCATTATCGTAACCATAATCATGACCATTATCATTATTATCATTATTACAATTTTTATTACTATCATTATTATTATTATCAGTAATAGTAGTACAATCATTATCAATTTTATAGTTATTATTAATATTACTAGTAGTATTGGTAGTAGTAGTTGTATTGTTATTATTATTATTATTATTACGATTATTATTATTATCATTATTATTGTCATTATTATCATTATCACCATTGGTAATACTCCTATAATCATAATCACATCATTATGTCTTTGTAATCAAAATCCTCATAATTATCATCCTCACCACCACTACCAGCACCACAACCATCATCATCACACTAATGATAATATGGTATTCCTTAAGAAAGATGACGATAATGCCAGAATAATTACAGCTCAGCAAACAGTGTCAATCTAAACCTTAATCCATAACACGAGCATCAATATATTCCTGTTAACGTAGTCTTTCACATGATCGAAGTGCATTAAAGCAAAGGTGTAAATTGTATTAGAGATGTAAGCTCAAATTAACAAAATAATGAATAAACGCAATTCTAAGCACACCTTTGGACGCGCATGCCTGCCTTCACTTCATCCCGGGAGAATCTGGAGCAGTAA